TCGGGCCAGTTAATTCCAGCCAAGATGTCGCTTGATTGCCATCTTTAAGAGAGCACCAGCTGGTGTCTGCAAGCTGTCCAAACAGCAGGCTAAATGGCCATCTTTCTGATCACACTCTTGGGTTACAGCACCCCCTGCTGGTTACAATAATCTCTCCCACAGTGTGATCTCCATTTTTTGCAGGCATTGAGGACTCCAAATTGCTTCTACCTGCTCCCATCACAGCGCACCTTGCTCCTTATTACTATGGCTACAATAAAGAGCACATTATCTGACCAACTTTACTAACTGTAAGATAATTCCAAAGTTGTATGCTAGCACACCCTTTTCTGTTCTAGTGCTACTAGAACATTATACCTAATAATCTACTCATACCCTGATGTTTAGAATATAAACCGCATAAGGTGGCTTGCAAAAACTAATACATGCAATTAGTTTTTGCTCAATATTTATTAATTATGAACAAATTGGTGCACTAAAAACTAAAACAGGACCAAAAAAAAATACCCACATGAAACCAACAAAAACAACAAAAACTAATAAAATGTTGAACAGAGGGAAAAAAAGTTTGAAAATCTGCAGAGACAAGCAACACATACACATCTCCTTGGTGGGAGGATTCCGTTGACATGGGACCACGAGCCTGGTACTGATTTATCTGATGGTTCTAGCCGCTGACCAGAGAACAGTGCCTCCGAGACCTGTGGATTCATGAAGTCCTTCGGGTACTCTTATCTCAAGATATCCATCTAAATTGAGCCTGAAAAGAAATGAGCACCAATACAAATGATCTAGCCAGTTGGGCAGCTCAGTGAGGTTGGATTCCCTGAGCCAGAGGTCAGGAGTTTGATTCCCTACTGTGTCTTCTAGTAGAAGAGTCAGCCTATGTAGCCTTGGGCAGGCTGCATAGTCTCACAGCAGCCCCACAGGAAGAAGACGGGAAACCCCTTCTGAGTACCCTATACTTCTACCTTGAAAGGGTTGTTCTATGTCGGAATTGACTTGATGGGAGACAACAGTTGTTGTTGTTGCTGTTGCTGCAGTTTTTACATGTGACCTCTAAAGAAAATGCCTGGCCTTTACAGGCCTCCTGAAAGCAGCCCCACACAAAGAGCACCACAGTAGTCTAATGTTGATGCAACCAAGGCAGGTGAAACCCAAGTTGGCGATGCTTTCTTGAGCCCGGATGCCTCCCCAGATAATGCCCTAATGCAGTGATTCCCAACCTTGGGTAACCCATGTGTTTCTTCTTGGACTGCAAGTCCCAGAAACCCCGGCCAGCACAGCTAGTGCTTAAGACCTCTGGGAATTAAAGTCCAAGAACATCTGGGTTACCCAAGGTTGGGAATAGATTTAGGCATAAACCACTGGTTTGGTGTGGGGTTTTTTTTGGCCAAAGAGGCATCCCAGCCCCACGTCCTCTGGTGGGCAACCCACTCAGAGGTGGCACCCTGGGTCCCCCTCCTCCGCCTCCTCCAGGCGCTGCCTTTGAGTTGTCTGGAGGAGCTGGGTCTAGGATCGGCCCGTCTCTAGTTGGGAACCCCTACCCTTGCCCCTTTGCCCTGTCCACTCTACTGGACAAACCCCAATAGAAGCAGGATTGCAAAATAGATCCATGGCTTTTCCAAGGAGTGTTATAGTCAGGAGACAATATTCCGTTTCCTTTTAGGAAACATACACCGCATCTACCTGTCCCAAGCAGCTAATGCTACAAATGCAGAACACAATCCATATTTTTTTAAAATTGAAAAACAACCACAAAAAGACACGAGAACAGAATGACTAAAACAATTCAGCCAGAGATACAGAGGGGCCCACCATGGCGTTTTCCCTTCCCTTTTTTTTCTTGTACATTTAGTTTTTCTTTCCTTTTTCCTGTTCAAGCAAGACTTATTGGTTGATAACATTAAATGAGATTGGTAACTAGGAGGTCTCCCTTGAATTAAAGAAGTACAGTGGGGTCTTGACTTGAGAACTTAATCTAATCTGGAAGGCGGTTCTCAAGTCAAAAAGTTCTCAAGTCAAATCTGCATTTCCCATAGGAATGCATTGAAAACCATTTAATCCGTATCTGCTCTTTTCCGTCCATAGAAACTAATGGGAAGCTGCTATTCTGCCTTCGACCACCATTAAATGAGTAACTAGGAGGCCTCCCTTGAATTAAAGAAGTAATGAAGGAAGGAAGTATGGATATGTTGAGGCAGCAAAAAAGGCCTGCAAGTTTAAAGACTAAGTGAATCCTCTTAATTGTAATTTAAAATCTTAACTCAAGCCGTTCTTAAGTCAAGACCCTACTGTAAGTAAGGAAGTATGGATATGTTGAGGTAGCAAAAAAAAAAAAGGCCTGCAAGTTTAAATAAGTGAATCCTCTTAATTGTAATTTAAAATAGGCACACAAACCAATGTAGGATTTGAACATTCATCTCCGCTTGCATTACAGGTAGAAAAACTGAAATGATTTGCTCTTACCACCTCATGTTCTTAGAAAAGCCATCCATTTATTCTGCTTCACTTCAACTATTGCAATTTAGAAAGACAAAAATATAACTGAATGAGATGTTCCCTTTTGCATAATAAGATCAGGCTAGAAATAAAGGCAGGGAGGTGCAGACGGAGCTTGGTTACCCTAGGCCAGGTGTTCTGAAACAGCAGGACTGTATGTCCTGTAACTGAACACCTGAACGTCTCTACCTGCTGGCACAGAACGAAGTGAAAAAACGCATCCACGCGTCTCTTCTTCAAAGAAGTGGGGGGGGGGTGAGGGATCCCCCACAGGGGCACCAGGTACACCATGTGTTTACAGTGACCAGGCAGCCCTGCCCCAAAGCCAGAAGTGCTGGTGATTCTTTTAAGTGCTTCCTCTCCCCTTTAGCATTGGAACATGCAAACACCTGCTCTTAAGAAAATTCTCTCCCTAGAACAGCTCAGAATCCAAGGAATTCAAGGTCTCCATGTTTATCTCGAACCTTCCTTGCCATGTGTATTTGCAATGAGATCCCTTTTCTCCATTAAGCTCTTTCCTTTCTCCGCACTAGTCGGGCTGCTGTGGACTCCAGCCATGTGACGGAAACGGCTACAAAGCTCCTAGAGCAGCGATGGCGAACCTATGGCACGAGCCCTCTCTGCAGGCACAGGAGCCAGAAGTCACCGGATCGCTACCTCCACCCCCACACACACACACAGCCAAACCTGCAGAGGCGGCTGCAGCCGCGGTGCTGGCACTTTGAAAGGCAGCGGGCCAGGATCTGGAGCAGCTGGCGCTGGTGGCGGATCCGAAGTGGGGGCTCGAGGCACCTCTGTGCCCGGGATTCCCCCTTCCTTCGCCACTTCCGGTTCCTATGCCCGCTGATCCCCCACCCCCAATTTGGGCACCTGGGCCCCAAAAAGGCTCGCCGGTGCTGTATGGCAAGCCTGAATCACTTCATATTCTGTGCATTCCCTATCAGTTATGGACTGCATGGCCTTACTCGGTTTTGCTCCCTCTTTGCCACTTCAGGTTCCACCACTTCCAGTTCCTATGCCCGCTGATCCCGCACCCCCAATTTGGGCACTTGGGGCCCAAAAAGGTTCGCCGGCGCTGTATGGCAAGTCTGAATCACTTCATATTCTGTGCATTCCCTATCAGTTATGGACTGCATGGCCTTACTCGGTTTTGCTCCCTCTTTTCACATATTTATTTCTTAATTAATTGGGCTAATCACTCATGACACAGAGTTAATCACTCATGACTAATTTAAATTGTATCAGCTCCATCTGGATCTGCTCCATAGTTATCAGGAATCTGATGTATTGCAATTGAAGTGACTGCAAATTGAGGACCACGTGCTTCAGAATGACCTGGAGGTTCAGGGTGAAATTATGTTACCCAAACAGAGACAGGATAGAATGAGGCCATGGGAATGCATCAGAACAAAGTTGGGGCAATGTTTGGTCCTGCAGACACTGCTGGACAGCAGATCCCAAATGATCACTGGCAAAGAATGAAGGGGGACATAGTCCAGTAATATCTGGAAGGCCGCAAGTGGCTCATGCCTGCAGTTAGAAGCCGGCTTGGCCAAAAGAGAAGAGCAGGCTGGAGCCCTAGTTTTCTTCATGCCACCAGGTTGGTCTTTTCTTATATACAGTACTGAGCTTAATTCACAGCTAATTGTTCAGATTTGACACTGGTTTTGATGCCAAGGGATGTTTAAAAACAATCCACAATCAGGTTCCTTGTTGCATGCCATTTCTCTCCTTTTTTGTTCTCATCCCCAAGGTAAAAACCACTTCCCTCGCTCTGCAGTGGCTTCACAGGGCCACACGTACTGAGCTTAATTCACAGCTAATTGTTCAGGTTTGACACCGGATTTGATGCCAAGGGATGTTTAAAAACAGATGGTCTCTTCACCCTCTCCACAATCAGGTTCCTTGTTGCATGCCATTTCTCTCCTTTTTTGTTCTCATCCCCAAGGTAAAAACCACTTCCCTCGCTCTGCAGTGGCTTCACAGGGCCACACGGTCAATGAGATTTGGTTACGTAATGACATTTGAAGCAAAACTTTCTTGGTCTCACTTAGGCAGTCTTGCACATGGGAAAGGATATTAAAACAGTGGTGTCCAGCAGAAGAGAGGAGCATGATTCCCACCACTGCACATGGGGTAAATATTTTACTCATCCATAGCCACCTCCGCCCCAACTGCCAAGTGTGTGAACATTCAATTTCAAATAAAGTGTCATGACAATGGCATCAACTCACACATTGATTTGTAGAGCACTCAAGTCACTTGGATGCCCATGTGAATAAGTCCTAAGAGAAAAGCCACTCTTATCGCCAGACTGCACGTGGGGTAAATATTTTACTCATCCATAGCCACCTCCGCCCCCAACTGCCAAGTGTGTGAACATTCAGTTTCAAATAAATTGTCACGACAATGGCATCAACTCACACATCGATTTGTAGAGCATTCAAGTCACTTGGATGCTCATGTGAATAAGTCCTAAGAGAAAAGCCACTCTTATCGCCAGACTGCACAGACATTTATTTTATTATTTACATTTAAAACTATTAATTTGCTGTACAGTAGTCTCCTCTTTGTATGGCACCAGGTTGACTTTTTTAAAAATAAGAAGAATGATAATAAAGCAAGGCTGTGTACTGGTTTATTTATCTGTGCAGAAGGCAGACACCAGGACGTGACATCCCGTTCCGGCGGTTCTGCATTTGACTAAGGAGCTGTCTGTGTCTGTGTTCAGAGTTCCTTAGAGGCTATCACTGCACTGCCTTTAAGACAGCCATGTGTGATCCCAGGTTTTCTTGGAGGTAATACAATAGGTGAAGTTCATAGTGTTCTCCAGACTCGGGGACCCTGATGCTGTGCCTTTCCTGGGGATAAATCTGGAAGAAAATAAAAAAGAAAGGAGGGAAGATTACTTTTTCTCTGTCTCAGAGGTTATTCATACAGTTCACTTGTTTTTAATTTATTTATACATAAATATATTTATACTTTGCCTTTCTACGTGGTAGAATTAAACTGGTTTAATCCTCCATTCCTCTTTCTCAGGGCATCATTGAAAATGTAGTTCAGGGAAATACAATGGACTTCTTAAGGACGGAATTCTACATACCTTGCCAAATTAGAAACCTCAGGATCCACAAGAGCCTCGTGGCGCAGTGGTTAAAACGCTGTACTGCAGCTAAAACTGTGCTCACGACCTGGGGTTCAAATCCCAGGTAGCCGGCTCAAGGTTGACTCAGCCTTCCATCCTTCCGAGGTCGGTAAAATGAGTACCCAGCTTGCTGGGGGGGCAATGTGTAGCCTGTATAATTAAAATTATAAACCGCCCGGAGAGTGCTTGTAGCGCTATGGGAATTCTACATACTGTACCTTGCCAAATTAGAAACCCCAGGATCCACAAGATAGGGCCATGACCGTTAAGGTGGTATAAAGCAATTTAACGGTGTAGTGCAGAGAGACCTTAAGTCACCAAGGTGGGAATCCTGTTGTACACTCTGCACATAAATAAATAAATATAAGATAGGGCCATGACCGTTAAAGTGGTATAAAGCAATTTAACGGTGTAGTGCAGAGAGACCTTAAGTCACCAAGGTGGGAATCCTGTTGTACACTCTGCACATGTAAAGACAGGATGTCATCAGCTGTGGATTTTAATTTAGTTCCCTACTTCCTACCCCCTGAGGTTCTGAGGCTCCCTAGGGATTCGCTTCAATCCAGGCAAGTCTATGGAAGTCATGGGACATGTAATATCCAGAAACTGTCACTGCCAAGTCCCTCTGCTGAGACTGTGATGCATGGAACCGATTTTCAGATATTCAGGGCTCCACATGTGTGCCTGTGCATGCGTGCATGTGCAGACGTGCATGCACACACCAACTCCCTCCCTCCCAAGGATCCCAATGGCTTCTCCAAGTTGAAAGGGATCCCTAGGGAGTTCCAGAACCAGGGGGATAGGGAATAGGAGACTTCAAATTAAAGTCAACGGCTGATAAAGTCATCAGGCTTTACATGCACTGAGTTGCACAAAAGGATTCTGGCCAACAGCTTCTTGCCGTTTTCGGATTCGGCCAATATACCTTTATCTGAAAATATTCATGCATATTATGTAAATAACCCACATGTGCAATGCTAACATTTTGTACTAGCAAAAGCTGACTGAGTCATAAATCTTCTTTAGCTATTTTATATCGACATTTCAAAGGTATTTTTTCCCTGGGAAAAACAGTAAACAAGATTGATTTTAATTAAACATATGTGTATCTACAAAGGCTGGAATCCTAGGCCACTTACCTAAAAACATGTCCCAGTGAACTCAGCAAGACTTGCTATAGGATTGCACTGTAGCCCCAGGATAGCCTACTAGCATCCTCTGGGACAGGTCTGGCCTCATAGCACTGGATGGATGGATTTATGCATGCATGCATAATTAGGATAAAAAGGCAGAGACTGAAAAGAGGATGTGAAAAATCTGTGACTTAACTGTAATGGAAAACACTTCCTTCCATTTAATGTGAAATGCAGAGCCATGACTTCATGGTCATGAACACTTTGCATGTGGAATATTCCATAGTCAAACCCCAGCATCTCCAGGCAGGAATATGGAAGACTGTTGCCCAAAATCATGGAAAGTAGAGGCCAGTCCGTGACAGCAATACTGGATTAGATGGACTAATGGAATGACTCAGTGGCCCAAATCCTGTTGCGTAACACAGTAAATGACACTCCGAATGGGCCCATTAAACCCATGGGGATTTGGTGAATCAACTCCTCCCCAATGTCCATTGGTTCCAATAGGCCTGCTCTAAATGCAACTTACTTTAGCATAGTAAATCATAATTAGAACTGGCACATTTGAATCCCTGGAGCTAATGAAAGAAGTGACTCACTAAATCCTTACTGATTCAGTGAGTCTACTCTAGGGCAATTTACTATACTAAGCAACAGAATGTTGGCACATAAAATGTAGCTTTCTATTAAAATAAAGTGTGTGAGAGGAGATCTTCAAAGGGGGGAAGTCATATGGAGTTGGTTCAATATGATGTAGAAAAGGGCCTTTGATTCTAAAAATCTAGTGTTCCCTTCTACTTGCTTTTTTTAATTTGAGGGGTGTGGATTTAAATTGTAAATGTGCTTTAAGAGGACCACAGAATAAGGGAGTTGGAAGGGGCCTATAAGGCCACAAAGTCCAATTCCCTAGAACCTATATACTCCTATGACAGGAGGGAGGAAGAGGAATTTTATAGCTAAATATAGGTCCAATCTTTGGAGTAGTGTTTAGAGAAAAGAACAGCTGTTAAGACACTCAGATGCTGGTTACCCTGCAGGAAATCAAACCCAAACAAATACAGCCATGATCTCCAGACTAAGAGCAGTTCCTTCTTACCTGTAAATCATAGGGCTTCCCAGCCCTCACCAAAAAACTCAGCAAAATGCTAGTGTGTGCAAAGTGAACATTTTCATCCAAAAATCCATGCAGTAGCAGCAACCTGTTGGGCCTGTGGAAACCAGAATACAGAAAAGTATTAAGAATTTCTTATAAAAACAGAAGACACTTCATAGTTGGCAGAGATGGCAAGGAGAGATTGGATCTATAATCTTTCAGCACCAAGAGAACCATCACTACCGCCAGCAATCACAGGATTGAATATTTTCCATGGAAGCTTAGCCAGGACACTAGTTTTTGCACTAAAATGTCTGCCCATTTAGAAATGCACCATACCATTAAAAATCAGTAAATTAAGAAAAACAATGAATATGACACAAACCAAATTAGAATGGCGGATACAAGGCTCAGTCATATTTAAAGCCAATCTTCTAATTACCTTTTTAGGTGACTATTCCTAGGAAGTTCATACATTTTTGTGCCTGCTCAAGTCAAAGCATTGCACTTTTCATGGGCTTCAATTTTTTTAAAAAAAATGTACATTTGAAGTCAGGTGTGACTTTCAAACTAGACTAACTGCAATTGTAAAAAAAAGTCTCAGTCCAATTATGTTTGGCTACTAGACTACAGGACGTGGTGGCGCTGTGGGCTAAACTGCAGAAGCCTGTGCTGCAGGGTCAGAAGACCAGCTGTCGTAAAATTGAATCCACGCGACAGAGTGAGCTTCCGTCGCTTTGTCCCAGCTCCTCGCCAACCTAGCAGTTCGAAAGCATGTAAATGTGAGTAGATAAATAGGTACCACCTCAGTGGGAAGGGAAAACGGCGCTCCCTATTCATGCTGGCCACGTGACAACGGAAACTGTCTTCGGACAAGCGCTGGCTCTACGGCTTGAAAAATGGGATGAGCACCGCCCCCTAGAGTCGGACACGACTGGACTAAAAATGTCAAGGGGAACCTTTACCTTTTACTAGGCTCAAGATAGTGTAAAGCAGCTCCTACATCCAATTTTGGGGAGAAGGCAGCCTCTCCCTTTGCCTCCACCCCCCAAGAATATAAAACATAACCATGATCTCATCCAGGATCAAGTTTGCCTAGTTTACAGCAAGTCACTTGGATGGTGTGTCTAGCTGATACATTTAATTAGCACTGGGGCTAATTATGCAATTATATCAGAGGCAGGTCTGTGCACTATTTCTTGAGGCAAAAGTTAAAACTTTAATGACAACCAGCTAGAAAAGTGGATTACTTGTAATGGGATGTGATTATATTAATACCCATTCATGTTCATTAAGTAGAGTTTTTACAACCCTGCAATCATTTTAAGAATTTAATTAGGCAACAAATGAAGTATTCGGTCAGCTTTCGACACAATGGAGAGAAAAGGAGAACACTTACTCCGAAGGAAACTTATCTGCTTGCATGGCCACCGAACCTAAGTAATACCCTTGCTCATTATTATCCGGGTGTCCCATGTAGCGCTCGGTATACCCTGTATCATAGAACAACCACAGTGTGACTGGAGCACCCGCAACAGCAACCTGCAAGTAAGTTCAAGGAAGATTATCACTGCTTTGCAAATATGAAAATACCTTAGCCGTGGTGAAGAAGACACCAAATCCACAAGTGGGAAATGAACTGTATTAGGACCAACAATAATTCCACAATAATTTCTGGTTTCTCAAAACTGCTCTCTGAGTCCTTTGTTTAAGTTACAACCAGCCTAGCATCTTCAGAGAGTACACGCTGCTCAGCATAACCTGATCTCTGTACACCTTTACCTGCCAGTGACTTCTCAAGCCAGCCCTCTCCACCTTGGGACCAAGCGTGACTTTTACAGCTAAAGCCTCTAACCAAATTCGTGGACTTCCATGCTTCCCCCCACAATGGTATTATTTTAACTACCTAGCCTGATGAGGAGATCTGGAGAACTAGGTGGCTTGCAAATGATTGTTGAATTGTAACTGGTCCAATACAATTGGACTGCCCACCTGTGATTCTGGCAAAAAAAAACCCAGCCAGAATCCCCTTACTCTGCACTGTTCAACTATTACTTGGGCATATGACTAATGGAGTTGGTCAGTATGATCATTCGCATCCCACCTTGGTATATAAGAACCTGTTGTTATATATGCTAAAAATTTATGACAGTTCTACCAGGAGATGAAGCCCAGCCATAAGCCCAATAAAGTTTGCCCAAGTAAATGAACAGAGGTATGTGGGGAAAATACACGTGTTCTTGCCCCCCTAACATAAGCAACCCGTTTTAGATGACCATACCTTGAAGATCTCTGGCCTCTGCAACAATGCCATGAGGGAAAGGTACCCGCCATAGGACCAGCCGTGTATGCCCACCCGATCTAGATCAATAAATTCGTATCTGGAAGCCAAGTACTGCAAGCCTTCCACTTGGTCAGTTATTTCAATCTGTCCCTGTTGGAAGAAGAATCTGTGTAAAGGAAAAATACCCTGAAATGTTAATGTCATGTCCAGCCTTCTTCTGCTGGTCCGGCACCTCAAGGGTGAAAGACCTGCCTTGCACTTACAGAGCCTGAAGTCCAGCACCAGCCACCTCTAGTGAAACACATCTCAGGAAAAAAGGTTGGGGGAAATAAAGAGTACTCTCCCTTTATAAAGCACTTCCTGACTGAATTTGCCAATACTGGATTAGATGGGCAAATGGCTTGCTTTGCTGTAAACACAGTTTTGCACACTCCTTCCACGCCTGATCTATACAGCACTCAAAACAGACAACAGAAGGCTGTTTGACTCATGAGTGGGCAACCTCCAGAAGTCCAGGGATTGCATATGACTATCCAAGGATCTCTGAGGGCCATATTTACACCTGTGAATTTTTCTAACACACACACCCTGACAATTTTGTTACATGAATTCGAATTTTAACTGGAAAAGCCCCTTGAGCCCTCTGGTGGCCAAAGGTATTTAATTGTTTTAACATCTGTGGGCTGTGGCGCTGATGGCCCTTGAATCATGGCAAACCATGCCCCTACAGCAGGGGTCTCCAAAGTATGGCCCGTGGGCCGCATCCGGCCTGCCTTGCCTTTTTATCCGGCTCATGTGTGTGTGCGTGCTTCAGCGCTCAAAAATGTGGAAAATACATTATATGGCCCTCACTGTGAAAAGTTTGCCGACCCCTGCCCTAGAAGGAGCAATATATTTTTAATACACTATTTGAGGGAATATATGGGTTCTGGAGGCACATGCGGACATCTTGGGGGGCACACACAGACATCTTGGGAGCTACAGGTAGCCAACAGACCACATGTTGAGTTAGCTGGCAACTGTAAACATCCCTCAATGACTCTAAGAACACTGGAATTTACAATCTGGAGAATCCCAAGCCTGGAGGGAGGCAATCTATCCACTTATCAGCAGCTAGAAGAGTCTGCTGTCAAGGACAGCCAACGAGACCCTTATTTATCCACAGTCTTATTCTAGGAGGCTGATAAGGACAGCCAAAGGACAGCAAGCAGGCTTGCATCACCATGCCTGCATTTGCCTGACAACTTACCATCTTATATTTAAAGGCTCCTTCGAACTTCAGCCCCCGGTGGCAGGAGCCTCTGTTGTCAATCACCACAACAACGTAACCCAGGGAAGCCAATGTGTTCAAGCGGAAATACTTGACCCCTTTGAAGCGATTGTTCACTAGCTGGACCTAGAAGGAAGCAGGGAGAACCTTCTACAGCTCACATGTGAAACTGATCCATTTTAAAAAGCAAAGCAAAGCAAAGTGTGCTGCTTATGTACCACCCCATAGCACTTCAAGCACTCTCTGGGTGGTTTACAAGTTAATTATGCAGGCTACACATTGCCCCCCACCCAGCAATCTGGGTACTCATTTTACCAACCTCAGAAAGATAGAAGGCTGAGTCAACCTTGAGCCAGCTACCTGGGATTGAACCCCGGGTCGTGAGCACAGTTTTGGCTGCAGTACAGCGGTTTAACCACTGCGCCACGAGGCTCTTTAATATTCTTATACTGTACCTAATATTCTTATACTGTACAACATTAAAATGAAAGCACGTCAGGCCTAGTAAGCAAGATTACTTATTCCCTTAAAACATTTGCAATATATAAATATTTGTTAGAAAGATGTATTCTGAACTGGCAAGCAAATTTTAAAAAGGGGGGGAGGAACTCCTAGCCTAGTAAAGAGATTTCTTGAATTTCATTTCGTTCCACCATTTCCTATCAATGTACATTTTAGTATTTTCTGCTATTTTCGAGTTGCTCCCAGGAATTTGCCACCGTGAATTGTGCAGTAATGACACCAGCACCTTCCCTAAAACTTCGCAGAATTACGTTAGTTATATTTTTCATTTTGCCTAGCAGTAAAATGAAAGAATCTACCAACAATTGATACTGTTATGACTTAAATTAAACCGAGACATCAGTTCTCTCTCCCTCCCTCATGGACGTATGCTTTCACAAGTCCACCAAATCTGTTTCAAATCTGTTTTTGTACCCACAACCCCCAGATGTTTGAGTCACTATCCCCCTCCCGCACATTTGCATAAAAAAGACGTTCTTAATTGGGCCTTCCTTTCTCAGTCATCCCT